CACACACACACACACACACACACACACACACACACACACACACACACACACACACACACTCTTCTAGATTGCCTCACCTCATGTCCTTTACTGTTGTATAGAAGGAAAAAAAACATTGCATCATATAGAAAGACCAGCATTGAGCTCTTAGTCATTCCCCGAGTTTATAACTTTTTTTCATGTGTGGGATTTAAAGGTAACGCAGTTGACAGACAAGCTCAAGAACCAATCAGAGAGCAACAAGCAAGCACAAGATAATCTACACAAGCAGGTCCAGGAGCAGAAGACTCTGCTCCGCTCGGCCCAGGACCGAGCTCATACCCTGGAGACTTCAGTCACTGAACTCACCACCCAGCTCACGGAGAGCAAGGAGAAAGTGGCCCAGTTGGATACTCAGGTAAGCCTCTGATAAACGTGTCTGACTGTAATGTGTTGATATTGATATAGGTGTGTTGCGCATGTGCAGCTTAACTGATCCAAGCACACTACGTTGTGTCTTTAGTTTAAATAGTGAGAATAACAGATTGTTTTTCTGCAGCTGAAGGCAAAGACAGAGCTGTTGCTCTCTGCAGAGGCAGCTAAGGCTGCACAGAAAGCAAACCTCGAGAACAGCCTGGAGTCTGCCCAACATGCACTACAGGACAAGCAGCAGGTTAGCTTCCTCTCTGTACCACTGGTGTTAAAATTTGGCTAAAGCGCCCCACTGCTTCCTTTGTAATGTGTCATATTTCTTTCCTTTGAAGACCGAAACAGTGAAACACAGTTTTCACAGTTTCATTTGACTTTGTGCTTTTTTTTTTTTTTGTCTGTTCCATCTCTGCTCAACTTTTTATTGCTGCTGTCCTTCACTCTGCCTTGCTGTCCCTTTTAGGAGCTGAATAAGGTTCAGAAGAACCTGGAGGATCATGGCCAACGGCTCAAAGAGAGACAAGAGCAGTGCACACAACTGGAAAGCAGTCTGAAGGAATGCAAAGACAAGCTACTGGCCTCAGAGCAGCGGATAGAGCAGCTGGAGGGACTCGGCAAGGTCTGCGTTGAGTTCTCGGTTTAAGAGATTTATTTTTGATCTGAATGATGTAACACCTAGAAAGTACATCCATGTATTTCTCTTATAAGTTAACGTGGTTTTTTATTCTAATAGAAATTGGAGTCACAGGTAGGGGAGATGCAGGCTGCACGGGATCAGGCGCAGCAGGAACTGCAGCAGCTGCAGAAGGAAAGTTCAGAAGTTAAAAAGAAAGCCAAGGAGCTACAACGCTCGCTGGAGACTGAGAAAGCAGGGTGAGAGATTGTGCTTTTTAGTTTTCAGAGTAACTGTATTTTACTGATTTTTCTGTGTTTTATTGAATAACCTCCTGTCTTTCCTCTGCCAAGTGCTACAAGTCTGCAGGAGGAATTAAAGAAAAAGGCAGGTACCTTGAGTGATGTCCAACAGAAGCTAGCACAATCCGAGCAGGGGATTGCTACTTTGAAGGCAAACCTGGAAAAGGTGACCCAGGAGGGAAAGTCTCAGCATGCAGAGCTGGATAAAAAAACTCAGAGTCTGGCAGCAGAGTTACAAAAGGCACAAGAGGAAAAAAAGGCTCAACAAAAGGAGCTTGCAGCTACTCAGGAGAGTCTCGGAAAGGCTAACAAGGCACTGAAAGAGAGTCAGAGTCAACTGGACACTGAGAGGAAGAACCATAAATCAGCTATAGCAGAGAAGGTAGGTTTGGTTAATCTGCAGCCTGTAAGAAATTCTAGGAAAGAATTACTCACATGATTCCATCTCTCCCCAGGATAAGTCTAATGAAAAAGCAAGACAGGAGCTTCTGAAAAATAATGACTCCATCACAAAGGCAATGAAGGAATCCAAAGAACAGCTGGAGCAGATGAGAGAGGTAAGCGTCTAAAAAGAAAATGCAGTATCAAATGTTATAGACTTTAAAATCCAACACATAAACATCTGTTGTTTCTGAAACTGTCAGTCAGAGAAGCAGCTGAAAGTGCAGCTGACCTCATTAGAACAGCAGCACACAAAGACTCAGGAGACACTGAGGGAAAAGGAGAACGAGCTGGAAAAACTGCGGACGCAACTGAAGATGACCCAGGGATCTTTGGAAGAAGAGATTAAGAAACTGAATGGCCAAGTGACAGAGCTAAAGGAAGCTGGTGTCAAGAAAGTAAGTACTGTCTTTAAACTAAGAAAAGAGACAAGCGTTGTACATCTCCTCATTAACATTGTGGTCAGTGTTTCTATACTGAAACAAGTCATTCTCAATGAGTTGAGCTTTGTAACAGTGGACAATCCATCACAGTCTGTTACTTTAACTGTTATCTCCAGGCACAAGAAGAAAATAAGCTGAGGGCACAGGTGTCAGGGCTCGGCCAGGAGCTGACCTCCGAGAAGAGCCGGACAGCAGAGCTGCAGAAGGCCTTGGAGCAAAGCAAGGAAAACATCAGTAAGCTTCAGTCTGACGTGTACGGAAAAGACTCTGAGGTTTCTGCCCTCCGTCAGGATCTCAAGGTACATTAATGCAAGCGAGACGAGGCTGTTATAGTGCAGCTTCAGGTGATTCTCAGTCTCAGATTGAAATGTATTAAATTATACTTACGGATTTTGCAGTGAGTGATTCTAAGTGACTTTCAAACTTCTTCTGTGTGCAGGCGTCTGAGCAGAAACTGAGCGTGGCTCAGGAGGAGCTGGCTGCTAATCAAACCCATCAGTCAGGCTTAGAGTCCCAGATCCAGGACTTGAAATCAGCCCGTAGCTCGCTGGAGCAGGAGCTTGCCAAACGGGACGAGAAGCTCCAACAGAAGGAGCAAATCCTGAAGGAGTTGCAGAAGCAAAAGGTCTGGGAAACTATTAACACCTAAATGTTCACAGTTATCAATTCATTTAATCTAAACCGTGCCAACTGATTCAGGGTCAAGTTAAGGAGGAGCTGGACAGGGAGAAGAGCAATGTGGAGGAGCTGAACAAAGCAAAGAGTGTCCTGGAGAAGAACAACAGCAGGCTGACTTCAGAGTTAAAGACACTAACAGAGAAGAGCGAGAAGGTCAGTCACGCTGCTTAACAAGCAGCAGTGTTTGTCTTAAGATTTAAGATATTAGATATTGATATATCATACTGATATTTCTCATGTTGGTGTGTCAGGGATGCAGCAAGGCTGCATTCTAGCCGGCAATTTGACATCATAGCTGTGAAGAGATCACAGATGAGTTATTGCTCCTTTTGTCACTGAAACTTGACCAATTCGATGCCCATAACTGTGTCTTCTCAGGAGCTCGGCGAATTGCAGGAAGCCAAACAGCTGTTGATCCAGCAGAAACTTGAGCTGCAGGCTCAGGTGGAGGCAGCACAGGGTGCTCTCAAGCAGGAGCAGAAGGAGCACCAGACCACCAAGGATGGCAGGAGTGAGAGGGAGGAGCAGCTCCTAGCCCAAATCGGGGACGCTCAGGATCAGCTGGTAGGCTCCCAAATCCCAAGAAATACAGTATTAGGCGCTTCCCTTCTTATTCCTTTCTCTGACACGGTCAATTCTTCCATCAAAAGGCAGCAGAGAAGAAGAGATGGCAAGAGCAGGTGAAACGTGGGGAGGAGGCAGAAGCTAAGATGGGTTTGCAGGTGACAGCCCTGAATGAAAACGTGGCCACGTTGAAGAGGGAATGGCAGGGCAGCCAGCGGAGAGTCGGCGAACTCGAGAAACAGACGGATGAGCTGAGAGGAGAAATCGCTGTGCTGGAGGCCACCGTGCAGAACAACCAGGACGAGCGACGGGCTCTTTTGGAAAGGTGAATTGATATTACTTCTCTTTGACCTTTGACACTTTGCTTAGCAGAGATGCTATAAACCCTGAAAAGGTATGACATATCCTTGACTGCCTTGAAAATTCACTGCTTTTAGAACTATTCACAGTATTTTATTGGTCATATATTCAGTTCCAAGAAAAAAGAAATAATACTGTATATGTTACCATCCTCAGTGCTTTATAAACTCTTTAAACTCCATAAGTTTAAATTGGCTCAATGTTTTTTTATGCACAGCAAATCAAAAATAAGTGGGAAATTCTCTAAAAGGAAAAAAATAATGAACAAAATAAATATCAGCCAGCAGGTGCAAGTCGAAATATATCCACTTTCTATAATGTTTTTTTTTTTTAATACATCGAGAGCTTGTCTTTGTTAAATTGCCTACAGATCAGTTTCAGGGTGAAAATGCAGTTATAACAACAGAAAGATTGTTGAGCTGGACTGAATAAAACTCCACACTATGAAAAGCTGATACGCCTCATTTCCAAGTAAAATTCAGTAGCTGTCAGGAGCCAAACAACCAAGGATGTACAGGCACAGGCACACTTTCTAAAATGCAGGTTTTATTATGCCCCCCAAAAGATGCAGATAATATCCAAGAAACATAACCATGAAAATAGGCTATTTTAAGAAAAAGTGTAAATAAAAAAACAATCCTTCTCATGGCGTCACAGCAGATGGTTAATTCGATTTGGTTGGTCTCTGCACTTAAACCATTTCCACTCCCAAGCCACCCACAGGCTGGAGCAGCAGACAGGTAGCAGATCAGCTGCGTGGCTGTGGATGTGGCCAAAACCAGAGCTTCACTGATACCTTACAAATGAAAACATGTAATTGGGCCCATCAGGAACTGAATGCTAAACTTAGCTTATAGTAGAAAACTTTAAATGATGTTTAAAAGCGTTTTATATTCATGTGATGATGTAGTTATAAAAAACTGTCACACCTCCTAACAAATGAAATCATCTTACCCATTTAGGAAATGCATTTTGAAGCTTAAACCATTAAATAAGATGACGTCACTCTACGGTTGTGTTTCAGGTGCGTGAAGGGTGAAGGTGAGATCGAGAAGCTCCAGGCCAAAGTGGTGGAGCTAAGGAGGAAACTGGATGACACGACGGCTGCCATGCAGGAGCTCGGCAGAGAGAACCAGTCGCTTCAGGTCAGCACCAAAACTCAGAAATTCTAAAATAATGAGATGATGAAAAAGGAGGCTCTTTATCATAGCGATAAAGTTAGACGTTGTCTGATTGTGCCAGCTTCTGTTGATCCTTTTAGATCAAACAGTCACAGAGTCTGACCAGAAAGTGGGCTGAGGATCATGAAGTGCAGAACTGCATGGCCTGTGGGAAAGGCTTCACCGTCACAGTCAGGAAGGTGGGTATGATTTTTGTTTTTAACCCATAAGAGAGCACGTTTGAGTCGTTCCTTACCCTGAGCCTCTCTTCTTCTCTCTGAATGTCCAGCACCACTGCAGACATTGTGGAAACATCTTCTGTGCCGAGTGTTCGTCAAGGAACGCCCTCACTCCATCCTCTAAAAAGCCAGTACGCGTGTGTGAGACCTGCTTCGAGGAGCTCCAAGGCTGATTTTCTTTTGTTTTCCCCCCTCTCATTTCTTTAACCCTACTTACCCGCCCACTCCTACCTCCCCCCATCCCTACCCTTCCCTTCATCCCTACCCTACCCTTTCTATTCCAATGGGCAGAAGAAGGCATGTCTTTGTCATTTTTAATGTGCACTATAAAGGACAGACGCTGTGCAAAGACTCCCACCTGAATGTGACCTCTGACTCTGGTGTGGAGGGAAACGAGGAAAGGATTTTTGCTGAGGAAACACCGGAGCCGTGCGATGGGTCGGGGTAGGACTGGTTGGGATTGTCTGTATCTGTTTTTGTGCCTTTGCTACTCCTGTGGACTGCCAGAGAGCGGAGACAGTGAAAATCAAAACACCTACCATTTCTTTTAAGTTCGTATCCCACTAGTAAGTTATAAGGCATACGTTGTGAAATGTTTGGCATCATATTTGTTAAGACACTGCAAAAGTGAGTATTGTAAAAGTGATGTTGTAATCTGCCCTGCAAAGGTAAATGCAGTTAACTAGTATTTGCTTTTTATCGCTACAAAGCTCTGCAGCAGGCCCATCACAAAGATATGTGAGTTCTAATTTTGTTGCAAGAAAACTCTTAAAAACTTAAGCAATCTTGCATTTTTGTATACGTCACCTCTCAAAGTGTAAAAACAGACACGCACACACTTAGTTGCTGGCAAAACGAGGCTGTGAAACCCTGTTGGGTTCAGGATTTCAGCAATCTATAAAAAAAAAAAGTTGTCTGCAACACTGTGCAGTGGAAATGATTAAACATCCTTCTAGGGATTTTTAATCTTAAAAATCAGAAAAACCCTCCGTCAAAAGACTCGTGCACCAGCGTGTTTCTGTACAGACCTTCGGATCAGTTACTGCACGTTTCCTTTGTGCGGCAGAGCGTTTGTGAGTCTGTTGGATTTAATGTATTCATGACCAAAGAATGTGTGCAGCAGGAATACAGCCGAGGTCTAAGCCCTGACTTTGTTTCATTTATCAGTATTTTTCGACGTGTCGTCATTTTTATCTTGAAAACGGCACATGTGGCAATCTGAGAGGCTTTTTTTTTACGTGAAGTCGTGTTTTTGTTTTGTTGTGTCCTGTGCCACATTACTCTTAACGTGTTATTTTCTTCAAATCGTGGTGCTTTCTGCAGACTTAAAGGTGCCTGCATGTTAACTTTTTTTTGTTCCTTGCTGCTTGTCTCCACTCAGCAGCACTGACCTACTGGCTGGAGTTGTGTGTTTTTTGTATGCGTGTTCTGCTTTCAAGCAATAACTGTGGAGGCGCGTGTGTGTGTGAAGTTGCTGTAACAGAGTGTGTATTTTAGTGTTAGGCCTGCTGTGTATGCTGAAATGCACTGTATGAATGTCGGCTGCTCAGAATCTCAGCTTCTCTCCGGCATGTTGCTCTTGGGGGCTTCGGTGCTGCTTTCAGGAGCAGCGGTTGCTGACGGCTCTGTCCAACGTGTCTGCTGCTGAGGACAATGTCAAAGTTGATTCCTGCTTTGTTTAATTTATAATTGTTGATCGCTCCTGGTAAGATCTCTTGTGCAGTTGTCAGTAGACTGGAGAAGGTCACGATGTAACAAGCAGCTTGCTTCAGACTTACTACGTTAGCTCTTATGCTTGTATGCTCATTACAAAAGAATGTCTGTCTCAGTTGCCATCTTTCAAAAACACCAGTCTTTTTGCTTCAGTGGTTTTGTTATGTCTACCTCAGATTGGCCCAGGAAAAGCACTATTTCTAAATGATAGACATCACAAATGTTGTATCTCTGCCTGCATTCGATGAGGGATTTTGTGACTGATCTATTATAGTGTACAGACCCGAAACTCTACAGAGATGATTTGCACCTTATCGTATTCTGGGCTTGTCCGTATGAGAGCTCAGCTACAAACATAGGACCACCGACTTTATACAGGCTTCGGCATTTCTAGCACCGCTGTACTCAACTGCTCATTAATACTAAGGCTGTCATCTTTGTAAATGTTTGTAATGAAAGAGAAAAATAAAATCTATATAACACTCGTGGGTGTAGAAACATGATAACGGTGAAACTGTGTGGATTCATCGGTGTCTTACTCATTTTTACCAAACGGCACCACAGACGTGAAGACACTGAATTGTGGCTTGCTTTGTGTTGTTCTCACTTATCATGCATGATGACTTTACTGGCCTGTGGCTCACACGTTTCTCCATTGTTTAGTCATCATATTTGGCGGTTGTGAAAGTGTGTTTTCACGCAAACATCCTGCACGTCACCGCTCGCCTTTAGCAGCGTCGACGTGACTTTGGCTCACTGAAGCTGGATGAGGGAAGTGATTTATGTTCACATGCACCAGATGATTTTTCTAATTGTCATGGCAAACGTAAAATAAAACCTGCAGTATGTTTGTATCTTACCGTGTCATGTTTTTGTCGCTTTGCAGGAATGATTCTCGAAGCCTCTAAAAGCGCTGAAGTTTGAGAAATGCACACAGCACCAACAAACAGCAAATGACTGAAAGAGCAAATCACATCTGAACCCGATGTTCATTCAGTGAACATTTCCCACTACACTGATTAATCAAGTAGTTTTTTAAATGAATTCTGGATGTTCTTCCATGCTGTCTCAAATATCGAATCCATGCAGTGATAAAATACAGAAAGTCTGAAACCACCTCTCATTTCTTTATGTTTTGCTAATATAATTAATATTCTTCCTCTTCCAGGCTTTCTGGAGGTCTTTCAAAGTTTTCCTAATTTTCAGTCCTGTCCTTGAACCTGACAATTCAGACAATATTTTTTTTGTTAAGGAACTTAAGAGTGTGCTATGAATCATTCAACCATAAAAAGGGCTGAACCAGTGTAGTATCTACAGCTTGCAGACTACTTGGAACTTGGCATATCTTGGATGCTGTGCAGTATGTCCTTAAAAAGATGAGTGGATGACAAAAGAAGAACAGATGGAAAATCCATCAAATACTGGATCTGGCACTGGTCTCAGGTGAAGGGTGGCTGTCAAGAAGTCATTATTAAGGAAGGCAAACAGATAGAAAATGAGTGGTAACGGGTCTTGAATCCAAATTTTCTTTTAGTTTATACGTATTGATGACAATTTGAAAGGAGCTCAGGAGAGAGGAGCGGCAGTGAAGGTCCACAGCCATCTGTAAACCACGGTGGAGGCTGCATTTCAGCCAGTGGTGTCTGAGATCTTGTCAGAATTAATCGTACATGTATTATAAATGCAGGAAAATACCATCACCACCATCTGCTATGCAATAACACCTGGAAAGCATCTAATTGGCAACGGCTTCATTTTTCAGCATGACAATGATACATACTGTCAGTGCAGTAAAACCATACCTGGATATAAAAACAAACCTGGACCTCAACATTACTAAAGCAGTGTGGGATCGTCTGCACAGAAAATGAAACAAAAGTGAGAAACATCAAAAGAAGAGCCTTGAATGTCTTTCAAGAAGCCTGGAGAACTGTTCCTGGAGGACTGTAAGAAGTTACAAAAAGCGTGCCTAAGAGATCAAGCTGCAGTGGTCATACTAAACTTTCAAGCTCTTTAGAATGCACCTATATCCTATTTTTAAAATATTAAATAATTAGGGGTGGCTGAAGACTTTTGCACAGTACTGTATGAAGCACTATGAAACATCAGAAGTGATCAATAGCTCACAGACAATTTAAAAACTGCATGAAATGATGTGTGGAATTCTAAACCCAACGTTTTACTACATGATGAGATGTTTATTTTACACTACTGTAGCAGCTGCCTTCACAGTCAAACCGTTTACAAAATCATCCTAGTGCTAGTGCAGTCATTTACAAGACATCAGGGGGCAGTGAAGTGCACATTAACAGTAGAAACTTTTTCACATGGCTTCTAGTTCTGCTTGATGGGTCATATCTGCGAAGACTCCAGCCACAGCGAGGAGCTCTTTACTCGTGTCTGCTGAGAGTCCTGCTTCAGCAGCGCCGTCACTGCGCCCTCTATCTTTGACATCCATACTCTCTGGTGGGGAAAAAACGTTTAGAAAGAGAAATATCAGATTTACCAGTTTGAATAACTGATAATATTATAAATTGTATAGCTTATTATTTCTTTGTAATGTTTGTTGCTGTAAGCTGTCCTAAACAGCTTCACACAAGTAAGATTAAACAATACAGCAATTTATTTTTATTTTCCTATACATTGTTCATCTAAACCAAAATAACAGAAACCTTTAAAAAGATTAAATGTATAGCTATGAATTTTTTACTATAAATAAATCTGAACAGACATGCATACAAACTGAATTTAGAAATCATTTAAAATATTTTAGCTTCACTTTCAGGGCTCTGTAGAGTTCACATCTTGCACTGATGTTTTGCACAAGGCAGAAATGTTTGGATAAACTTATGACACATTGTTCTTCTGAACATAATGTGATCTGTGTCCTGCATGCTCTCTTTGGAAACATTTCAGGTATTCACAGTTGAATTGATCTACCTTGACAGCCTCTGACGCAGCTTGCAGGATGAATGCACCAATACACTGTTGGTAGCGGTTCTGGTGCATTACTATGAAAGAATGAGGCAACCCCGATGCTGTCAAGAAAGTACAAATGCTTTCATTTAATAACACCAATGCACCACATGGCATCCAAACATAAACAGAGAGACGTGATCCAGAAGAATATTTTGATTCTGTTGACTGCTTTGCTACGATGTGCTACAAACATGTGTTCTATAAAAAATGGGTTTAGAGCTAGAAAACTCAATTAGTTGAATCTTAAAAATTTTACTTACAGGAGGCATTAAGTTGATCGATGTTTCTAAGTTGGAGTCGATCCAGAGAGATTGGCTGGTCGAGAACCGTGAAGGTGCATCCCTCCTTCAGCATCTGATCCAGCTCCAGGTTTTTCAGAGGATTCTGCTCTGGACCTACAGACCTCTGCACAGAATGTCAGGACATATATATGAAGTTATGAGGGATATGTAGTTAAGGCATCCTTGCACTAAATATCTATCACAAGCCTAGGTTAGAGTGAGCAAAGGTTAAAGAGTGACCCACCTTCTTGTTTCTCTTCATCTTTGTAATCAGCAAGAATTCATCAAAGAGGAACATATAGACGTCTATGAGCTTTGCGTTCTCTGGGAATTAACCACAGAAAGACGACGTAAAGTTTTTAGTCAATTCGAAGCAGGAAGCGTGTGAAATGTGTTGGATTTATGCCAGCTGACACACCTGTGAGGACGAGTTTCCCTTCGTGCAGCAGACTCCTGTGAGAAATCAGATTATCCAGTGTGACAGCCTTCAGAAGATGTTTCAGATTCTAAAAGAAAGCAGGGAGTCACATTAGAAAACATTTTCACCTTTTAGCGCTTTTCAGACACATCGGTCTTTCCATTAATCTGACAGCAACTCAGCATGTTGGCTTCTGAATGAGCACCCTGGCCCTCTACTAGTAACATGTACATATCACTTTAAGCATAGCACGTCTTAACTGCATACTATTGGATTAATAAATAGGTATGCGCATGATAGCGAAAGAGCAAGTCACTCGTGTATAATTTAAGATGCATCTTTGGTATTTCAAATGCAGATGAGCTGTCTGTGTGAGGGCTACAGGTAGCTGCTGCAAACAGGTAGCACACAAAAACAAACACGTTCACAAGAACAGATGACAATGACGGAAAGAACTAAATGTTCAAAACTGTGGTCACATTTAACTACGGTTACATGCTGACGCTACCAGTACCACGGGTGCAAATAAGTATTGTCAGCACTGACGATAGTTAAATTCTCACAATACTTATATGCAACAAGTCATTTACATGTATGACTTACACATTGCAGCTCTCTACCACTGCTATCTGTGTTCACTTCAGTTCAGGTTTGTTTATATAGCACCATATCACAATAGTCCTCCTCAAGGCAATTTATACTTTACTATATAACTTGCAATGTAAAAGCAAAGACTACAACAATTATACAGTCCCCCTATGAGCAGGCACTTGGGAAAAGCTTTCTTTTACCAAGAAGAAACCTCCGGATTAAAACCAGGCTCACTGAGGGGCAGCTATCAAGGAACTGGTTCATGGTGAGGAGAAAGAGAAGAGAAAAAACTGACAGGACGAAACACAAATTTCGGAAGAGAATGTGTGTCACAGTGTATGACAGGAAATCTCCCAGAAGCCTGTAGCAGCAAAACTATAGCAGCAACTATAAGTTAACTTTTCAAAAAGGAATGTTTTAATCAGTTTAGAAGGTATCTGTCTTCCAAATACAAACTGGGAGGTGGTTTCACAGTAGAAGCTCTTTCCCCATACAACTGTTGGGTGGGCTGGTCCCATTAAAACAAAAGGGAAAAAAATAAGTGCATTTACACACATGCAAGTTTCTCTCCTCTGGTGTCTGAGTCTTTCTGTTTCACAGCGTGCTCTGCACCTGGATGACAGACTTATTACCTTACTATAAGTGCTATGAAATCAAGCTATTCATTAACTGTCTTCCTTTCACTGCTCTCACTTACACCAAGTGTTTGCTACTCTTTCTATTTCGCTCTGTATGCAAAGCCCATTCCCTTGCCACATGTACGGCAGAGAGAAAGTGAAGATAAAATAACTACAGATGAAGAGAATACAAACAGAAGTGTTAATCCACCTACAATGACAGGGAAGAAAGACTCTCTTGGAAAAAAGAAGAAGAAGAAGAAGAATAGTGCTGCTGTCATCCTCCCATTCAAATTGAAGCTAATATTTAAAGATGTGAAACTGAACTATTAGCAAATGACACTGTAAAACTCTAAATACTGCTATTCATTGCTTTCAGATCTGATTTTCTGATAATTTGATCAGTTTATCTGATGATCATCAGGCACTGGAGGATAAAGTGTTGGCACATCTGTGTGACACGTTGCTCTTTCAACACAGTTCCTGAAGACACAAACACACCCAAATAGCAATATATACACAAACACAGGACAGACCTCAGGGATGAAAGCACGCTTGTCCCTCTCCCATACAGGCAGCCAAACCAGGGCATCTCTCAACTGTTTCACTTTCTGGTAGTTATCCAGCCATTTGACCTTTCCTTCTAAATCACCTGTAAACAGAGAGGACAGGAGACTGAATGTCATTAAGGACAAAAACAGGTCCTCAGACTCAAATTGGTCACTGACAACTTCATTCATGTCTGACACGTCACACAAAACTCCTGCTACATTTCCTATGCCTTTTATTTTACGTAACATATACCTATGTAAAATATGCATTTTATAATGTACCAAAGTGCATAATGATTACATTCATTTACAATGCTATACAGTGATGCCATACATGGGCGTGACCATATCGTGAGAGATTTCAGCTGTCTCTGCTTTAACAGTAAATATCCCCCACACCCACAGAGGACTTTGGTCTACACATCCTAGCTGTGATTACAATACTCATTGTCACCTACGCTTTACACAATCATAACCTTTTAAAAGGTGTGGTAAAACACACCTTTTTAATGGTTATGGGACAAGGTTTAATTAAAGATTTCTGAACCCTGAGCAGTTTCGTTTGGTACGGTTATTTGTTCAACGCGGCAACATGACATTGAGTTGAACGGCTGTAGAACATTTCCCACAGCCTGTCCTTCCAGTTATATAATAAACCGCCAAAACAGGTCTGCAAGCAGAGGCTTGCAGTGAAAAATAAATGGTCAAGGCCTCCTGGCTGATATCCAAAGCATGCAACCTGTGTGCTGACAGGCACTGATACTAGCTGGCCTGTTTATGTTGACAGACTTACGTCCACTTAAAAAGCCCTTCTATCTAGATATGTTTGTAAACCACCAGGAGGCAAACACGTCGTGCTGAAGAAACACCTGAGTCATGATCAGCTGATTAACATTACTCAGACGCCTGACTCAAAACATTCATTTTGCAAGGTGACGAGACCTGTGCAGGCGCTTTAATTTAGCAGGACTGAAACAGTAAAAGCAAATTTAGCCAAGCAGAGTCTCCTAATGAGGTCAGCCGAAATCAAAAGGAGAGCATTTTGATAACAGAAGGGAATTTTCGAATTCAGTGCTCACATATCGATTTATCCACTTGTTCTGCTATAAGTTCCAGCCCTCGGGCTTCGTCCTCCTTCTGGCATCTCTTTGCGATATTCCGCAACAGCAGCGGGTATCGAGTTAGCCTCTGCAGCGGTGCCACCAGCAGGTCACGCAGGTGAAGCCTTCGGCACTGCTTGCTCCTTTCACACCACTGAGGAGAAAAAAGGAGGGACAAAGAATGGGTACAGTGACAGAACGAGTGAGGTCAAATGTTTGAAAGGACTTGACTTTGTAGGGAAGGAGGGAGAGGATGGGCAGTGAAATGCCTGTGAGAAGAAATTATATGTAAGACCAAACACAGTGACAGTTCCAGCAAACAAGCCAGCATGATGACAGGGAAAGTTACACAAGGTACAAACGGTGACATTCCTCCCATTGGCAGGCTGCTGTGACACTGAACTGATTGTTTGCTATTTGGGCACCAATGCTCCTGTGAGTCCTCTCTCACATTGGCACACAACACCTGCTGCATTGTCATGGTACACAGCGTCCTTCCCACTGTGCTGAATGGCACGCTCACACACACACACAGACACACACCAGTAAGACCTCTCCTGTACCTTCACGTAAGTCCCAAAGTCCTCTCTGGGCTTCAGACTGTCCAGATACAGAAGAGCCGTGGAGTAGTTGAGGCAATACGTCTGCAGGCAGTGGCATATGCTCTCCTGGAAAGCCTGCCAGCAGACAGTAGTGTTAGACAAACACCGAGATACAGGCTGCTGGGTCGCATCAGCTGTTAAGCTGCAGATAAACATATCGTAAAAAAGCACAAAGAGGATGCGGCATGCACACATGCACGCACAAAAATGTCCAGTGTGTGTTTGTAATGGCATACATGCGTCTAAGATTGTCCTGTGATGTTTCTGTTAAACTTTTAATAATTTTATGTAATTGTAACTAGAGTTAGGTAACCTTTTCCCTTCTCAGCGAGCTTTGAAGATGCCATATTTTCAACACGCTCTTGTCATGAGAGAAAGGAAGATGGAACAGGTAATAACAAAGCACATACGTAGATTTCAAAGTACAGTTTAAATGCAAGCGTGCTAAATTTGGTCAGTGAGAGCATCGTGAAAGAAAGAAAGTAAATTCAGCTGTGTATTTGTGTTCTCATAAAAACATCTGCATTAAGGGGACACTTTCCCGGGCACTAGTTATCACACTTGATTATTGGGCTATAAGACTGTGTGGAATCTGTTTGTCCATGTGGGCAGCTAGAAATCTAGTCCAGCTTGAAGGTGTCGATTTTAGAGCAGGAGCTTCTCTCAGTCCATGGTGATGTAAAACGCTTGTGCAGTTACCAGTTCATAGCAGGCTGGAGCCTCGGTGGTTCCTAAGTTGTTCTTGAACAACCTAAACAAATTCCTCTCATGTGGCTATGCTTAAAGGCCAGGTATGTGCCAACAAACCAAGCAATTTAAATGAACTCAAATTCCACCCTAACGAGCGATTAAATATCTGTATGTGCATTTTTAATCCCGTGTGGATTAGAGAAAATCCAAAATAAAGTCCAACTTGTGTACCCAGTTCTTGTTTTTTGAAGTCATTAAAGATATATGCTATACAATCAGCCTACCCTGGAAAATGAACAGTCCAAAGAAATCATAAAAAATTACCAAAAAATGATCAGTGTACTTAAATGTTTGACCTCAACTGTACCAGAATATTACATTTTGGCTTTTCTGCACATTATATCAAGTCCAGCTGATCCTTAATAGCTAAAAGAAAATAAGAATGCTTCCCAAATAAGAGCTTAAAGTTAATAAATCCAAACTATGCAGCTATTTTTCAAGTCTTTGAAAAAAAAAAAAGCTGTTTATGAAAATACTTTAAGGATTATATAATAATTAATCCAGATGAGCATATCATTCATACTTTTTCTATCTATTTTGATTGTCTTATCAGCGGGCTAGTGAACACTGCTGTCACAGAGTCCAAATGTGAATCAAACTTGCCTTCCCCAGCAGATCCAGCAGGGTGGGACTGCCACCCTCAGTAATCTCCAACATGTTCTTGATAACGCGGAGGAGGCTGTTTAGGAAACCTGAGCTCACCTGGAGCAGAAAACAGTGTCAAATGTCACCACAGGGCCATGTGACATTTTTATAATATCACCGAGGTATTATGTTAAGATAATTGTTAACAAAGGTTTTTTACACCACATTATTTTTTTGCTGACCATTAAATAAGCTTTAAATAAAAAGCTAGCATTTTAAAATAATACAGCTGTAACGACTCATCATTAGCTCTTTCATAGTAACCTTATGTTGATGTGACACCAAACCATGTTGTTTTAAGGATATGAAAGCAACTGTTGTTAAAAATGATTTACACAAACTCCTCATGCAAATGATTTGCATCATTTCTCACCAGGCAAAGCTCATTGAGATTCGCAAACAGCCTCCATGAGTCGATATCAGTCAGGCAGTTGGTCACCTGCAGGTTTGTGAGCGTAGCCGAAAACACCTGAGAGGCACAAAGAAAGCAGAAAGAGAATAGGTTCAAGGTCTCTCTCATGCCAGCATTAAATTTCAAATCCACTGGTGGAAAGACGGGAAAATCCAAAGAGACTTTTACACGAACTCCAAAGGCGGGAATTCAGTGAGAAGAATACAAAGAAGCAGGTGTTCAGTTGCATTTGGGTTTGGTCTATTTATTTGTGATCCTGTGTGTGTTTTTGTGATTGTGTGTATGTGTGCATTGTGAGGCTCTGTAGGGAAAGAGTCACCTCTTTGAGAACCATGAGTTGATCCATGAAGTAAACACACTCGCTGGTGAAGAGCTCCCAGATGGTCTCTTGTCTCTTGAAGCCCTGCGGGTCAGAGGAAGCACTGACCTGGGAAGACTGGTCTTGCAGGAACTCAGCCAGAGAGTAGTCCTGCTCACAGATACACAAAAAGACAAGAAGCTATAACTCAAAGTAAAGGCTGCATCCTCCACAGAAATCTCAGCAAACGTGTTTATTTTATGGCTGTAAATTTCCATCTGCCACTATTATAGATTCAGGAGTACATCAGTGTTTGTTTGTGTACATATACAGGTCGACTTCTGTAGTCACTGCCTAGAAATTCTGGTTCTTACACAGTCTGTGTCATTCAAACATTGTAGGAGCTTCCATGTAACTGTCATCTTCTCATTTCTGAGTCATCTGGCAAACACTGAGTTGTATTTGACTTGGGAATCTGGATGGCTAAGCCTGGATCACAAAGTCAGTGAACGTACAGAACCAACACGATGATTTACAAAACAAACAGCAGCTAATAGCGCTCATTTCTTGCCTTATATCTCTGAAGCTCCAAGTTTCTCCAGTCTTGAATCTGCGCAGTTGAGAGATATTTCTCAATATCTGACACCGTGCATGTCTGCGGCTTGCCTTTACTCTGAAAGGAAAAAAAAAATTAGGCAACACATTAGGCAGATTTTTAGGGCTGTGCACTAGCCAAGAAAAAAGGGTGTGTGCCTAATTGTTGTTAATATCTGTTCACATAACAACCCAGCAGTTTCAAAACTAAATTAACAATTTTGGCTCAAGTTCTGCATTTCAAGTGTTGACCAATTACAAAAAGCTGTGTGGGCCAAAAGGGATAAGAGGAAACACACTAATCTGCTTTGGGAAGTGGGTCAGAGAACAATGTCCAAACCAATTGCTCACTCCTAAAACAAAGTACATCAAAACAAATTACAAGCATGCCACTGGCACCAGTCACACACATCGATGACTAGCAGAAATACAAATGCACTTACCGTACTACGCCTCGAAAAAGGCCACTTTGACTTCTTGGTATCTGTAAAAGTTGTGACAGTGAAAAGAAGCGTGAGCATTTTAAGTTATACGCACATGACAGTGCCAATCACAGCTTGCTGAAAATGTCAAAAAAATCTTTTGTTTTTTGTAAAGTGACCACCACAAGTTCTGTCCTTTTGCTTTTTTTAAATTCTAGAAATACAAATAATGCTCCCTTTACGACACAACAACACTAGACTGATGTCTACTCATAACTCTATATAGCACTTTCTACAGATTATCTCTAGTCTGTCTGTTTTATAGGTGTGTAGATAAAGTTATAAACCACACTTTTAGTAAAGATGTAATAATAAAATAAGATGTAACTTACAGTAATCTTGACTTTGAATAAATTTAACGCCATAAAACCATTACCTTCATTATAAAAAAATAATTATAGTCATTAATGAACTTAGTTTGAGGTTTGAAATTCAGCTAAAAAAACAAACTTTTATTAAAGTACTAAATTAAACATTTAGCTTTCAAGTATTTCAGTAATCAATAATGGTGGGGGAAAAACATTTTGCAGTATTTTTGTAGTATTTTTACTTGCATCTAAACAGGAATACCAAATAAATATAATTTAGTCATAAATTTAAATAGTCTGAGAATACTATAAACAGGAAGGCTCATCTCATGCACCATCATCTGACATAACTTAATTGATATCAAAGTGATTAGCAGATTGACTCTGCATTAGGGTAACATTTATGGGAGGTTTTATTGATGGTGTTGGTATGCTTAGCAACCTCATTTTGCAGCCAAAAAACATAAGTGAAGTGAGATAACTTTATCTTTGTGTTACTGGATAACACAGGTACGGATGTAATTAGCAGATACTCAGGATATCGCATGCCTAAAAATTGCGATGATATTGTATGGTGGCGTGCCTGGTGAGTCCCACGTCTAAAAATAAAAAGTTCATGGAAATTCATAAAGTAAACTGAAAAAAAAAATCTAACTGTTGTGCACACATTTGAGTCGATCACCTAACAACAAGAAAGGACACGATACAACCAAGCAGGAAGCAGGAAGTTCATTTTGCTGTGAAGCATTACAACAATAGACATATTGACTCAATAACAGACCCATACTAGTTCATGAGCAAGCAGCACCTAAACAGAGGGCAGACTGCAATCTGCTGGGACTGACAGAGGTACCTGCGAAGTTTGAGTCATTTAGTAAGTCAGCTGCTCCATTGGACACGAAAAGATCTCCTGGAGAAACATCCAAGCCGGGCAAACTCACGACGACGGAGCTCCGTCTCCTCTGATAAAGCCTGAGGACACAAAAGCGGACAGGTGGACAATTTAAGATGGAAAAAAATCCAAATACGCAAACAAAGAAAAGACAAAACAACCAAAAAAAACAAAAACTAGTTCTTCATACTAAGAAGAAAAGCTCATCAGACATCAGAAATGTACAGTTCAATGATTATTACTCCATTGTAAGTGTATTATATTCTAAAAGAATGGAAATCATACAAGCAACAGGAAATTACAGAATTCCTATTTGTGGTTTTACATTGTTGGGATACCACTGAAATACCATCCGCATTGTGCAGCAACCCGGCGATTAACATAGGATAAGTGTTATGTGTCTGATTATCCGTGGATAGATGCTTGTTAATGGATCGCCCTATTTGTGTGGAAGGAGGCAAGCTGTCAGTGTGTGCCAGTTATAATCCGCTTGGTCTGCTTTTCATAGTTAGTAACTGAGGCATGGCTGTGGCTGGAAAAACACAGGCCTGCCTCTCAGCCTCAGGCAGGGCTTAAACGGCCACTGTTCTCAAGTGTTTTGACTTATCCTCTGCTGCTGCTGCACTTCTGGGATTACTGCTGAAAGCAAAAATGGACGTTCACATGTTGAAATTAAAAATTAAAAGCCCAGTGATAAATCTTCATAAGCAATGGAAGCTGACCCTGGAATATGCAGGCTAAATATCCAGAAAGGGCACGGCCATGGAAATGTTTTCATTTGTTGTAAAAGCCCAAAAGGAGGAACTTGATTGGTGACAGCATGACATTAAACCGTCCCAATGCTAAATAGACAACTGCAGTCGTTAAACATGACTGCATACAGCCATAAAAAAGGACGCAAAGTAGCCAGACGAGCTGGTTCTGCTAAAGCTAAGGCTCACTTTGAACACGCTGACACTGATCGACAAGCGGTCAGTGACCCACGTCAACACTCTGCGGTTTGGCTTTTAAATATTTTAGTGCCTTTGACTTCAAAAAGGAGAATTTAAGCAGGAATCAGTAGTGATGAAAGTAACTAAGGGCAGATAACAGCAACACACAATGTGGCTAAAAACCATAAGGAAGTGTGACTGACAGATGAGGGCTAATGCCCCTGTTTAGATTGACAATACAATACAGTGGAGCAGAAGTAAAAGCAAGGGGAAGAAAATGCAGGAACAATTTATGTAAAACTTCTTCATTAGATTGAAGGAGGAAGTGTTCTTCCCCTCACGGTGCAACACATCCCCTCACACAGGACCTGCATTCTTGCTGCTGTGGCTGCACAGTTGCAAAAGTACCCTACGAGACTAATTCGAGTGCACATGTAGGCCACATAGCTGCAGGGCCAACTCATACACTTGGAGGATAAGTCAGTCTACAACTGAGCGGGGGTAACCTGGTACGTTTTTCCTCTAGGACACTTTTGTTCAACTGTGAAAGCACCAACTGTTCTTCGCTCTCACTGGATGGGCCGTTTTCTTCCTGGTAAACTGATACGACACCCACGTCCAGATCAATGTAAAGATGCTGAACAGAGAGACAGATAACAGTCGGCAGTAGCACCTGAGCAATGTAGGGGACATGTGGCACGAAAGGTATGATTACCTCTTCATACCAGGCCAGTGTCGCCTTGCAGTTCATTCCACAGCATCCTCACAATGACATCCTGTTGGTTTGTGGCAGCTCAGAAAGCTTTCTCTTTGTCTGCCTCTCTGCTACAGAGAGCACTTGTAAAAGTGGCCGCTTTGTTCATGCATAACAAGAGAAATAATGATGCTCACAAACAAGACTGTCCCAACCAAGGCTCGCAAAGGCCCGGTCACTGTAAGAGGCACAGTGCCAGGGTGTAATTACAGGGACAATAGCTGCCTAATTATCCGGTGAGGGGAAGAGCCTGGATGCCTATTAGGATGGGTGTAGGCGGCAGTAAGGGAAAACAGCCTTAATGAGCCCATACATAACCATAGGACTCTCAAAACTTAACCCACCAAGCTTATGAAGCATTAACAAAGACACGAGTGACAATGAGTGCACAACAGGGATCCTGAAAGCAAAGGTCCAATGATCCTCGCTTGCTCCCAAGCACCAAGAGAGCACACAACTCAGAGGCACTCTGACGTGTTGTAGCTCGGATTTTGGGTTGTTTTTGTGAGCAGGTGAAACAGAAGGACAAAAATAAAAAAAGAAACCATATGTGACAGCTGTATCCATTCCAGGAAGAGTTTTACGACAGGGTAACACAGACAACATGCAAAACAGTCCAAGGTACACTTACCTATCATGGCAGGATTCCTTCTCCTGTAAGAAAAAAGAACTTTGTTAGTGACCTCATCTTTCCAAATCAGCAGTTATACTACACGCCACATCGACACTGTCTCGCTCCACAGTCAGGACCAAGCAGAGGGTTCACAGACCTCCTGCCGCTAACAACACCACTATATCACTTTCAAAGACATTCAAATTTGAATCAGTATTTTAAGTGGTCGCTTGCATTCAAAAGCCTCTGATATTGGAGGAGAATGCCGGTGCTCTATTGAGGATCGGCTCGCTTGAATACCGTGAGCTGATGAATAGATCTCCCCATTATCTTTTTCCATCGCTCACTGACCCCTCCATTATTAGGTGACTGCTGACTGTGGTGAATAGGGGCCCGAGGAGAGCACTTCCCAGGGCTCTCCAGGCAGTGGGCTTGGTCAGAGCTGTCAGTGCATGTAACTGCTGATTCATTTGCTGTCAAAAGCTTGCATTGTGAGTGACCACTGCGGGAGGCAAGGCCAATTGAGGGAATGAAGGTTTTCCTCAAGGAAGGAATGTGCAACCATTTCATTTTTAGACTTTGCCAAAAAAGAAAAAAAATCTGCAGTAGATTACAGGAAATTTATGTGTGGTGATGGGGAAGAGGTTGGTGTGAAGGTTATGAAAAATCATCTTTTTCCTGAGTAAATATGCAAACACTAAATTTACAAATACGTGGTAAAAGCTCACCTGAACTTCATCCTCAGGAAATCCATTGTCTTTAATAAGAAAAGGATGAGCACTGTGACATTCTTGTTCCACAGAAGTGATACTGTTGTCAAAAGTCTTTGATCTATGCGATCTGCTTCGCTGTTGGCCTGAGGATGACACTGGCTGATGATCGGCCTCCCCGTCAGAGAGTGGGCTCGCTGCAAGAGGTGAATCTACTCGGTGTCCTGGTGACAGGGGACTTATGGGGGATCCCGTGCTTGCAGATGATTGCTCTTCCTGAGTGCTCCCCATCCTGTGAGGCTCTCTAAAATCTATCTGAGGACGTCGGGTGCTCCTCATCCTCCTCAAGGTGGGAGATGTGGAGATACGTCCAGGGGCCTGGCGGTCAAACTGAAAGAAAGGTGGAGCCGAGTTGTCTAGGTTTACCAAAGACAAATGTCTCATTTTGGAGTGTGTCCGTTTGAGATCTATGTGCATTATGACTGGGTTACTGGTCTGGCTCTCTTTGTGCTCAAAAGATGGCGAGTCCGTTTGCGTCTCAGCATCCGCCACACCTGTTGTGACAACTTCATTTTCATCCCATTCGATGTAGCTCCAGTCCAGCTTCTTTTCATTGTCCGTGTCCTTATCCTGCAGAATAACGTGCTTTAGAGAAGACATTGCAACCTCAAAGGCATTGTAGGGCTGCATAGATCAGGAAATGTGTAATCTTATAGTCTGATTTTTTTTCTCCTTCCACTCGAGCTCAGATGATAATCCTACATTCCAGTCACCGTTCACATCGCTTTACTTCTCCTGATTCTGCTGGGAAAAGATGAGAGTTAGTCATCAGAAAAAAGCAAATGAAAACCAGGCACAAGCCTATATCCAAAAAAATGAGTTTTAAAAGGTCAGCTGGCACTAAATAAGCCCTGAAAATACATCGTGTGTTTATATAGTTTACGATACAGATGGAGTAGCTCACATATCCAACAGCAGAGTCACAGCACAGTGTGGCAATAGAGGTCTTGGCAATGTGGCGCTAAAGAGGCCATGCACCTTGCACTACCTCTACTGACTCAGGTTACCATCTGCTCCTGCTTTTGCATATTGATGTAGCCTTTCTCCTTTTTACTATTTCGTTGTCCTAATGTACTACAACACCGCCTTTCACTGTTTACTCAAAGCCGAAAGAGCAGTTAACTCGGCACATCCACGAGCGGACAAAGGTTAAGGGAATAAAGACAAAAAAAGTATCGATTTAACCACATCAACGATTCGTCTTAATAATAAATAAACGCGTTAACGTGAAGAGCGAGACCGCACATGCGCCGAAAGAGCGAAAAAATTAACAAGCCTGGTTTACTTTCATCCTCCGGTGCCTCGCGACCACTCGGACCGACAGCTCGCGGTGAAGGCTGGCCGAGGGGAGTCCTGCTGGATGTCTGGATACAAGGCCGAATATTAAGTTATTTCTTATTTGTTCCTCCAGAGTGGAGCTCCTACTGCTGGTCCGTGTAGAGAGAAGTGAAGGAAGGAGTGGAGCGTTTCATTGTTCAGAGCTGTGAAAGGTGCGACTGCTCTGCTCTCTCTCTCTCTCTCTCTCTCTCTCTCTCTCTCTCTCCAGCCCAGTATGTCACACACAAGTTACACGAAGCCACCCGGTCAGTGTTTGCCTCACTAGTACACCTCATGTTAAATTATTGCCACCTACCTCTGTAACATGCGCAGTTCATTCAGATGCCTCAACTTTTTGGTAAGTGTAAGGATATAGACCACAACTGTGGATGTATTATTGTGAGCAAGTATCAGAAATTAATATCATATTAATTTCCATTAGAGACACTAGTTTTAGGTCTGTGTATATTTAAAATAGTGTAATATTTAAAATATAATTTAGTTTGTTTTTTCTGATGCTACATTTTTTTTTAAAACCACTGCTTTTGATAAAAACAAGTCCAGGATTTTTTTCCCCAGTCGGTGGAATAAAAATTTGTCAGCATAAAGTGCTGCTCCCAATTATGTTTATTCAGTTTAGGCTGTTAGCCTGTCACTGTCTGTGTGCCAGCATCAAATTAAGCAAAGCCTAACATTATGCAACCCACTCATTTCTTCTAGTTTCAGAAATAATCTTCATAATTTTTTGTGTTATTACCATTATTATTTTAGTTATTAGTTAGCTTTGTATTGCACTGAATCACCATGAGGAACCAGTTATTGAAACCAGTATGAAACAGCAGTATATTTAACACAGAGAAAGTGGAACAGCTGAATCACCTGTTGGTTCAATGAAGTGAACACTACGGGGCGATGCAGGGTGAATCATCTGAGCTGCATGAGCGACGTTTCCGGAGGAACTCTTTAAGATTGGGTCTTGCGCGCCCCCTGGTGTAAAAGAATGGGTAGTACATGAAACCGCCACAACTTTTCTTCCTCGTGAGCTCCTGCCACTCTTCCACTGCAGCTGATTTCCTGCTGCTGATTTAACTTTCCCAATAAAATGGGCAAATGACACTTTCATTTTAAGCCATTTCACATTCATGTGCCATAATGATCGTACATTCAGTATTGATTAAATTTAATTTAACACTATGGTCATAATAATTTTAGTCATTGTAAGAAGTTACTCTCAATAAAATAAAAGCACGGATTATTTCTAACTCTAACTCTAGGACAGCTGGATGGATCGAGTGTAATGTATCCTTTTTGAGTTGTGAATGACATAATTGTGTATGTTATTACGTTATTAGTACTGATACATAACTATGTTTTAACAGCACCATGGTGGTTTAGTTCAGTGGTTCTTAACCAAATGTAAATAGTTATGGCATAAGAAAGGGGGGACAAAATGGAACAACAAGCACAAGTTTATATGATTCTTTACAATATATATTTGTCTTTTTTTGGTTAAATATTTTGCAATTTTACTTTTTTATCCTCAAAGTTTGGAGGAGAAACATCTAATCAATGGAACTGATAACAAGACACAAGCCAGAAAGTTTTTATTTTTTATTTTTTTATTTGGGAACAACTGCTTTAAAGGTGTACTTTACCCCATAATTACATGCCTATATCTTCTCTCATCTACAGTGCAGTTGATCCATCTAAATCAGTTTAGTGACAGTTGGGTTGTTTTAGAGAGAACAGCTGCAGAAATGTCTGAAATCTTCTGAATGTGATCTTTTAGATGGCTCTGACCTTGTGAAGCTCGCAGTCACAATGAAGAAACAAATGAGCAAGTTTCATACCAGGTTCTCAAAATATCTGCAGAGCTTTTTTTCCTTTCTTCTGTTTTAGTGAACATAAAAGCTCAATTACGATAAACTATTTTTTTTTTTTTTTACCATCTGTCACTCTGGATGGTTTTTCTGCTGACTGATACCAGTGTAACTCGATAGAAAAAAAATAGCTCACAGTAGCATTTTTTGGAGTAGCTGGGTCGTAATTTCTACTCCCCCACTCGTTTTATAAATGCAGTTTTTGCTGCTTTTAGCACCAAAAGTTATACGTAACCACAATTTTGTTGTACATGTACAATGACAATAAAGGACATTGTCGTTTGGCTTTTATAAGCTCATTTGAAAAAAAAAAATGTGTAAAAACAAGAAGCTGCTGAAGATGCGAGTCTTTATGAGTGAAGGAGCAGATACTTCAACACAAATGAGTCAAACTGTGAAGTTTTGTGAAATCACACAAAAAAGTTATAGGTTACAAAAGAGTGCAGTACCATGTTTGTCCATTACAGTGCTGAGCAGTCAGAAGTTTGCCCTGTGTTGAGACCAATATGAATATTTACACGGAAATGAATAGTTTTGATCAAGATAACAGAGATGACGGGTAGATCCGACAGTCTGATAGTTTGTGATTTATAATGTGGGATCTTTGTCCAGCTGTACAAACATACTCATGGCTTGTGCCCAGTTTATAATTTTAATATATTTGAATTACTTTCCCCCGTGTCTGCTATGATACATGTTTACAGGTGTGTTTCCGCACACTTATGCAAGTGCATTTCCTTGTAAAACGCCATTTAATGACTTGTGTTTTCAGTGCGCCTGCTCTGAGCAAAAACCAAAAAACTTGTCATTGAACGGAATTTGCTCACAGCCGTGACAGCGGCAGTCTCCTCCCCCTGAAGAGTGGATGTGAAGACTGCGGGTCTCTCTGACATACAGGAAGAAGTTGATTAAGTGCAAAAACACAGCGCTTTTCTGAAACTCGCCTGCTTGTTTTTCCTCTTGCGCTTTCACCTTACTCGATCGACTTTGCCGAGCGGCAGATCTGGAAGAATGACGGCGAATCTGATGGCTGATGCCAAACTGGAGGCGCTGTAACGTGTGGATTTGTTCATAAATGGAAAAGCAAGAACGAGTGTGAAACATATCTTCGGTGAAAATGCCAGAGCACAGATCCAGTTTTCTTCACATTGGAGACATTGTGTCTCTGTACGCGGAAGGCTCGGTGAATGGCTTCATCAGTACTTTGGGGTACGTTCCTCCTTTCTATCTCAATTTCTAATCACTCAAGAGTCCATGGCTTAACCCTCCCTTATGCACGCTTAAAAACTGCTTTCACTTTACATCTGGCATGAACTTCTTCAAATGTATGTTTTATGCAAATCCAACAAGTGAAAACCTAAAGTGCGACCTGCGGTCAAGGCCCATCGGCGCGTAAACGGCTCCTTCTCAGGAAATTCTTCACGTTTACGCAAATCTAACAGGAATGCAAACCAGCGTGTTGCCCAGGTACGCTTCGCGAGAGGCTGCGAGCGGATTCTTGTTACTGTGGTCACCAACATGTGGTTCAGGGGCCCAGAGAGAGGCACGAGGAGGTGTCAGGGTGACCAGATTAAGGGAAGAGTAGTTGTTCATTCATTTGACGTTAAGATAAGAAATGTCCAATGACCCTGAATGCCACTCCTCCTGTTAAATAGAACACGTCTAACAAAATAAATTGACACCGAGTGAAACTCTAGGCTACCTCTTATTTGGATGATGTTCAAATATTTATAGTGTTCACTTAAATAAAGGACTAGACTCTTCCTGTTTAGGTGAAGGAATAAGTGTGCTCTATATGTTGCACATGCTTTGAAGTCATCTCTTTGCAGTCCATGTACAGATTGAAAACGAATCTGGTGGATTGCAAGATAAACATGAGAGGGTGCAAGGTGAATGTGGGGGCTAAAAAGAAGAAAAACGTTCTAAAGTCATATTAGATATTTAAAACCTTTTCACTGATTCCCGTTTGCTCTTGTCATTTATTGTTAATTTATTGGTGTTTGTTGTGTCATTATAATGATATTCAGGATTATTTTTTTTAAATGAGGAAACCATTGGTTTTGACTCCTTCCTATGTTGTAGCACTTGCACTCAGTAGATTACTTATCAGTTTTACTTGGTGAAAATAAAACGGCTTTTCTTTGCAAAGCAGTGCAGAAAAAGAAGAAGCTGCACACACAGTTTGTTTGGTTGTCGCCCCTCATGAGCTGAGAGCTTCAGTGCAAGGTGAAATGCCTCGATGGTTCCGGGTTACACTCTGGCCTCTGAGCCTGCTGAACGAGTGTGGAAACACTGATTGGCCCTGAGGAATGGCTCTGCCCCACCCATGTTCTCTCCTTTTCCCCCCACTCTTGTTCTCTCTCCTTTCTCCTGCTTTAAGTCGTTCCTGCCAACAGGTACCTCACATCAGATGCTCAGATAATCTGTAGAGTTTTGGAGCAAATAGAAGCCGAACTGTGTGTAACCCTTGAATGCAATGCTGTTTCCTGACTTATCATCTGCTAGTGTGAACTAAGCTGCGATATTTTATTTTTAAATGAAAAGCTTCCATAACTGTTAAGGCGTGTGGTAATGCAAATCGAAGCGACTGCACCCTACATGGTACACAGGCTGTAAATTTCAAAAAAGCAAAAGTGCACAGCAACGATTGTTCACGCCTGCTGTTGTTGCAAAGGGAAAATAATTAAATTCTTATCAGCCTTTCTTAGAGACTTAGAGCTTTATATTGTCATTGTGCAGTTTCTTGCACAGCGAAATTGGGTAGCTGAACCACCAAGGTGCTTTCAATAGCTCACGTAGTTTGACTGGTGCCCTGAGAATTTTATCAAGGACGCTGCTGTGCCAGAGCTCACTCAGGCCCAGAGAGAAGCAGCAAGTAAAGCAAAGAGCCTTCAAGATCCTCCCAGAGCTGCAACCCCTGTCAATGCAATTAAACCTGATCTACCCAACCGTGTCCATGTTTGCATAAAATAACATCAAATCTGTTAGTTCCACACCTGTCATTGCAAACTCTCAAAAGCTGGCTAACCTCCAAGTGACATCACCAACCTGACCTTTTAAGTCTTGCAGTTTAACTGGCAGATTTCCCATATTTTAATGTGTCGTAACAATCAGTCCAGTTTGTTGCAACTAACAGTAGAAACTGATGCATAGATGCAACACCAAAAAACCCAAACATTTTCACATTCATACCTTTTTACCAAAAGTGAATTCAATGGAAGAGTCTGTTTAATCAGTATGTGTGTGACTCATTTAGAGTACCGTGGTATCAGCAAGTTGAAACATGCATTTGTGTTGAAATTGTTCACATGCATC